AAGATCAATTATATAGTCCACTTCCACCATCTTGGAAGTAGTACGTGCTGCAGGGAAAATCCATTCTGATTCACCCTGTGTCCCAGGGTCTTGTCCATGGCCGTGGGTCAACGGGCCGGGAGCCCCTTCTAGATACCACACTTGCTGAAGGTACCACAGTTCTTAGGGACTCTCCACAGCAGCAGCTTCCAGAATGTCTTTCCTGAAGGCTCTGAATTGTCTTCTGCTGAGGTCAGCACACTCTGACTGGTGTAAGTCCGGAACTTGGAGCCCTTCATTCTGTGGCCCTAGATGAGGTGGCTTCTCGGGGAATATTTCACATTATGATGGTGCAGGGAGAGCCAGTTGAAGGGGTCTCTGAGACACTCAGCGCCATTCATTTACTGAACAAGCAGATGCCCCTGCACTGAGCCAAGCCCCAGCCAAGTTCATAAGATAGAATCTCTCCCCTCCAGGAGGAAGGAAGAAAAGCGACAGGTATAAAATGAACTCTGACACAACCGGCTCACTTGGCCAGCTGGGACACTGAGGCCCAGAGGTGCCCAAGTCTGTCTTCCCAGTCCTCTGCTCCATGCCCAGAGGCGAACATAGCACCAGTCCCAGCCACAGGCCCCACAGGGCCCTACGAAAGCTATGCCTTTAGGAGGAGAAGGAGCCCGTACAGTTCTTCCCTTCATTTCTTATCACTGAGTCACTCTTCACTTCAAGACAAATAAAGACCCCCTGGACTGGAATGACCAAACTTTAAAAATCGCCTTTGATATAGGACACTGTCAGAGAATTCAGACATCTAACACACATCTGATCAACCAGCTCCCCTTTTCTCCATATGGTTATCGACCCTCCCAAAGTTCTCCAGGGAATGAAATATGTTTGATCCAGACGGAAAGACTGTTGGCTTTGTCCAGCACGATGACAGTATATCACTGTTTCTCAACCAGTCCTTGCTGAGTGAGAAGAAATGACCGTCGGAGGAGGAAGAGAGGGACAGAGGGAGGGAGGAGGGAGAGAAGGCCCCAATCCCAAAGCTGTCTGGTGGAGGATGCACCAGGGATGGAGAAAATCTGGCAAGAATTTGGCAAGTGTTAATGGAGCTTGAGGCCAAATAAGGGAAAGCTCATCAGTTGTGACCTTTGAAAGGGAGCCGGCGGGGAGGGTGGCATGGGCCTGCCCCCAGCTCTGCTGACATTTGGTTCCATGAGGGAGCAATAGCTGGTCCCACTGTCCTGAGCACAATTACCAAAGCTAAGCTGAGCCATGTGACCACAGCGCTGTGTTTTCAATTATTCCTCCTCCTCTCCTTCTGGGTGCCAGGCCTGGAGGGAAAGCGGTCCCCACAGAAGTCCGACGCTGGCTTCTCTACCACAGCCCGATTGTAATTGTTCTTTACTCTCTTTTCATTTTCTGTAATGACAAGGCTTATTTTGAAGACTGTCTTTGCTAACTTTGGTTGGGGGTTAATACCGCCCCCTCTTCCCCAGGCTTCGGCACACTCCCATTCAGCCCCCCCCACCCGCCTCGTCCAAGAGCTGAAGTGGTGGATCCTTCTGGAAAAGCTTATTAAAAAAAACAAACAAACAAACAAAAAAAAAAAAACGACTTACAGAACTCATGAAACGCTCCTGAGAATGTCCCCACCCCACCTGGGATTAGCAGTTTCCGCCAAGGAATTCGACCCTTCTGCTTTCCGAGATCCTGCTGGCAGCCAACCCTTACCCTTTGAGTGAAGCACATAGCATGGCACCTGGCCCCAAAGGTCCCACAGAGATTTTTGTCATGGAAAATGATCAGTGAGGGACTTGTCACCTCTGGGAGAGTTACTGTTGGTCAGGAGAGAATATGGAGGGGAAAGGAACTGGGTTTGCATTCCAGGAATCCATGGAGACTGTGGCAATGTTTGGTGGAACAAGAATACTCGAGCCTGGCACTAGAATGGGGACAGGGAGGAGAAGAATTCAGCTTTGACTGGGACTTGGAGCAGGATAAGAAAGCAGATTAAAAAGCTCTCTTGGCCTTTGTACGTGATTGTTTTTCATGCCTTAAGCCAGTGGAGTGAAGTACCATTGTTCCAGGAGGATTTGCTATTGGCTTACATAATTAAATTGATGGTGATAGCTTCAGGCATGGCTGGATCTAGGTGCTTATGGGATGATATCTGGATTCAGTCCCTCTCATTTTCTCTGTGTCCTCTTTTCTTTCTCTTTACCTCTTTGAGTTCTGTACCTTCTGTATTGAATTCACTCTTAGGCAACCCTTTACAAAACATGGGGACTTTTACTAACTCATATGTATATCCACTCTGTTTAATGCCTGGAATATTCTAGAAGGATTTTAATGCAAAAGTGATGATCTTTCAAATTTTTGAAAGAGAAAGAAGAGAGGACACAGAGAAAATGAGAGGGACTGTTGTTAACTCTCTCTTTCACACATACATTCCTTTCCCACAAGTTCCAGGGCCATCATGGGGAGTCCTAATGAGGCTGATCAAAATGGACAGAACTCTAGGTATATTAATATGTGTAGTGACATTGGTTTTGAGAGTCACTAGTTTGAGATTGATTTATTCATGTTTTTGCTGCTGGGATTGACCCCAGGGGCACTTTACCACAGAGCTATATGCCCAGTCTTTTTTATTTTTTATTTTGAGGCAAGGGTCTCACTAAGTTGCTGAGGCTGGCCTTCAATTTGTGATACTCCTGATTGAGCCTCCTGAATCACTGAGCTTACAGGCATGTGCCGCCACACCCAGGTAGATTCTGGGGATTTGAATGGGCAGAGTGTAGTCCGTCCTGTGTTGAAAGACGGTGGCTGAGGGGGGGCAATGACAGGAGAATGAGGTGGAAGAAAGGAAAACCGGCTCTAGCAGTGGGAACTCTGCACCCAACAGATCCCAAGGGTGAGAGACTGCTCCCAAGTCCTCTCCAAAGAGCTCATGCCTCTGGACTCTGGGTTCACGACTCTGGGACACATCAAATGCAGAACTGGTTCCCCAGAGTTCCTGTGGCTTGAGGGGAAGGAAGCCGACTCTTGGGTGGAGGCTGGAAGAAGCCTTGGCACGGGGAGAGCAGGTCCCAGGTGCAGGGCGTTTACTGAGAAGCTATGAGGAGCATAAAAGGAAGGGCAAGTGACAAGGGGAAGATGTGGAGTCACAGCTTCTAAAAGAAAGAGGAGACGTGAGTGTGTCCACCTGTGATGATAGGGACGTGGCACAGAGGGAGGGACCCAGGCTGACGGTGAGAGAGGAGATAATCAGTGTCAGTGTAGAGCCAGGATAAAGGCTCCAGGCCCCAGGGTCACACAGCATGGCTTAATTCCTGCTTTGGTTGCCTCCTAGCTGTGTGGTCTTCACAGTCACTTTACCTCTCTGTGTTTTAGGCCTCACTTCTCCAAAACGAGGATATTGAGGAGCCTACAGTAGGTTTCATGAGGACAACGTGGAACACTGTGTGGAACACTGGTCCACCAGAAGGAAGTTTTGAAAGAGTCATTGCAAATGTGTGATCAAGGTGATTATGGAAACACGGCACCATTGTTGACCCAAACTGGAGGTCCCACTGGTGGCCATGAATGTTTCCTGGTACCAATTTGCTCAAGAGGGTGTGAGCAAGAACCCTGTGACCAGGCATGGTTGGACCCATCTGTGTTTAGGGTTTCACTCAATTGAGTTGGAAGAACAGAGATAGTGGGACTTTGGGAGGCTGGAAAGAGAGTGCTTGATGAAATGGACCAGCACTGAGATACCTCACCCTGAAGCATCCGGGCTTGCTGCAAAGCGGGCTTCCATGTATTCATTCATTCATTTGAATTTACTGCTACTGGTTGCTATTGATGGCTGGTGAATAAACTGGTAAAGGCAAAGGTTTGCCAGACACACGTGCAATCCCAGCAACTCAGGAGGCTGAGAGGGGAGGTGAGACTTGCTGAAGGGCCACACTTGGGCCTGGGGTGGGGAGCCGGTCTCTGGTCCTTGACCCAGTGCAGGAACTATGGTGTCTGCTTGATTGCCACCAGCGTGTGACCTGGGCCCAGGAGAAGGCATACATGTTCACCGAGAGCCGGTCATGTGCTGAGCCCTTTGGCAGACGCTGCCCCAGCCTCACCTTTGTTTACACATGTTGGCCTGGCTGCACAGTGTTGGGTGGGGCTCCCGACCCTCTTAGTCACAAGCCCTTCATTTTTCATTTTTATTTTGGTACTGGGTTTTGAACCCAAGAATTTTTATTACCGAGTGACATCTCCAGTCCTTTTAATTTTGAGACAAGTTCTCGCTAAACTGCTGAGGCTGACCTCAAACTTGGGATCCTCCTGCCTCAGCCTCCTGAGTAACGGGGATTACAGGCATATGCCACCACACCCGGCGACACATTAATGGTCTTTGATTTGAGCTCCCTGGATTCTGGGGCTTCCTTAAAGATGCTATGGGAGTCCCCAATGATAGTCAAACGGGACTAGGCAGGTGGGCTTAGTCCTCCCTGGTTCCCTAGTCAGTCTGCTCTAAAGATTGGAGTTCCCTTATAAACTTTTATTTTGAAGATTGGTTTCCAAGTTTATTTATTTTTTGGTTTCCAAGTTTAAAAGTGCTGGTCTCTATGATACCTAAACTCCCTCCCGGGACCTTGGGTTTGCACTTTTCCTGTCTTTGCCTCAGTTTCTCTGCCTGTTGGATGAGGCTGTGCACAAGCGAAGTTCTGGGATAAGGTCTCTGTGAGCCCGCTAGTGGAGGGGTGTTAACCACTGGGCTAACTGAGCCCCATTTGGCTGGCAAAGGGAAGGGCCAGGGACCCTGAAGGATGACCTGCCCATCTGCCCTGTGTCCCGGGCACTGGGCACCGTGGCTCGGTTCTGGGACGCATGTCCATCTCCACTTGTCAGCAGCAGGTCACGTGGCTTCTTCCCATTTCCTCTTTCCTCCAGGGACTCATGAAGTGGTGGCTAAGCCCAGTTCAGTTGCCACCCATCAACCGAGGGCCAGAGACCAGGAAAGGAAGAAAGGCAGCTTTCCATCCTCTCTGAGGATGGAGCCACACAGCTGTTCTGCAAAGAGCCGAAAGTCCATGAAATTCCGGTCCCTCTCCCGATCCCTGATCCTCTGCAATGCCAAGACTAGCGACGATGGATCCAGCCCTGATGAGAAGTACCCGGATCCCTTCGAGAGTCCGCTGGGTCAGGGCAAGGAGGGCATTTCCCACTCATCCGTCCAGCTGGCAGACACGTCGGAGGCCAGGCTCAGCAGCATTCCTGATCTGGCATTGGCCTCAGAGGCGGCTCAACTTCAAGCAGCTGGGAGTGATCGCGGCAAGAACTACAGGAGGATGTTCTTCATGAAGGTATGCCCAGGGCTGGGTGCTGGTGGAGCCTCGGTAGCGTGTGGGCTAGAATAAAGTCTTTGGATTCATTTTTTTCAGAGTTCTAATCGTGAGCAAAAGCAAGAAAAAAGTTGAGGCAGGGCCCCCTGGAAGTGCAGGAATGAGCGTGGTAGTGAATCAGGCCCAGCTGACACTCCGGCTTCAGAGGTTCAGTGAGACACTCTGTCAGGCCAAGATCGGGGCCTAGATCCCTGACGGAAAGTGGCAGGTGTGACAGTCAGTACTCCTGTAAGTTGTCATCTGCAGTCTCTTTGGGGCCTATCATAGGCATGTCAGGTCACACCGTCATGTAGGCACGCAGAGGAGAGGTTGAGGACTTGGACACAGGAGGAGGCCGTGGGCAAGCAGAGGAAGGAGTACAGGTGAGGAAGTCAGCTCCCCAAATGCTGACTGTGAACATTTTCCAGGGTGCTCTGCCAATTTCAACCTAGGTGGAGCGCTGACAGTGCCAAATGAAGCTATAAATTGGGGAGGGGTGCTTAAATAGTGTTTGGGGACTTGGCCAAAATTCATAATGTCTTCTGTTAGAGCACGTTTCAGTGTTTTGCCATCATAATGAGGTGGGAATTGCAGGGTACCATGGGATCTGGGCTGACTGGATTTTGTCCTGTTATCCCCTCTCCTTAGTACTGTGCCTTAGTGCCTTCTGTTGATGGAGGGATTTCTCGTCCAAGTGACCTGGACCTTGGAGTCAGTGCTGCTCACTCAGTGAAGGCCTGCCCCAGGGGGCTTCCCAGCAGACTACTGCCAAGAAACCCTAGGGAGTCACCGACTTGTAAGCCTCCAAAGGAAGTCATTCCAGTGCCTGGGAAGGGTCTAGCACTTTCATACAGCTCAGTTAACCTCCCTCACGAGGGAAGTGACTGCTTAACACTTATATGACAAATGACCTCAGGTTACTAATGTTCCATAGTATGCCACAGGAACAGCCCTGATGATCTCCAGACACAAAGAGCCCCCGGTCCAGGCCGTGCCATCACTCATGACTTCTGTTGACATGTCCTGAACTCACCTGATAGGGGAGAAGGAGAATCCTTCCAGTTTGTCATAAATGATGAGAAAAATATACAGTCCACCAACCAAATGCCATATTTACTAATGATGATATGAAAGAATCCAGAGGAGAGCTCAGGTAAACCCAACTCAAAAAATCATTTCAAGATCCCTGGAGACACCTAGAATAGATTATTCGCTTGCTTCTGATTAATTGCATAGGCATTTACTGAGCACCTACTAAGTGCCCCCGGCACTGTGGGGATTCAGACTCTGACCTCCAAGAACTTGCTTTGAATAAAATTTACACTGCAGGAGACACAGGGGGCCTGTTAAAGTCTCAAAGGAAGAAGAGAAGGGACCACAGTTCTGAGGCAGCATCTGTCTGTCTTTCTTTCAGGAAATATTTAAGGAGCACCTGTCTGGGCCAGGCACTGTTGCAGGGAGTGAGTGAGACAGACTCGGTCCCTACCCTGATGCAGGGGACACAGTTGTTAGTTACTTAAATATAGATGTATAGTATTAAGCAATGAAGGTTATGAAGACGTATTAAGGAAGATAAGGGGTTAGAGAATGAGAGGTATTGCTGAACTTTTGAAAAAGATGATGGCAAAGCCTTTTCTAACCACATGACTTTCGGTTAAGTTTCTGAAGTGGAGGAGAGAGTCCAGTAACTGTGGGAGGAGGGGCACCATGAGGGGACAGCCAGTGCCGGCAGGAAGAAGGCCTGTACTCAAGAAGCACCAAGGATCAGAACACGGAAAATAGAGAGAAAGGGGAGAAGGCAGGAAATGGAGTTGAGGTGGAACAGGGGCCTGAGCAGATGGCAAGGGTTTGGACTTTTATCCTAAGAAGGATGGACACCAGGGGAGTGACATGTCTGACTGCTGAGCTGAGAGCGGTGTGCAGGAGGACCTGTTGGGGTGCAGACAGCAAAGACCCAGGCCAGGGATGACCTAGCTTGCCAGTGGCAAAGGCACCGAGAATGGTCCAGGTAGGGATTCATTTTCTATGCAGAGGCAACAGGATTTGTTGTTGGAAGAACACAGAGCATGAAAGAATGAGAGGGATCAACCTTGGCTGCGAACTGAGGTCTGAGCAACTCGGGGTGGGAGAAAAGAGGTGCCCTGTCCTAAAATGGGGGGAAAAACAGTGGGGGCTAGAAAAATGACAAAGAAATGAAGACATCGATTTTACTAAGCAAGGGTGGGTGGGAGAGGAAATTGCAGAAGCAAAGAGGTAGAGAGGAAGGCTGAGTGCTGTGTCTGGACCACCCGGCCCAGGCAAGTGTGTCTGGGGCTCAGTTCTTGCACCTGCTCAGCAGCAGGAGGTTGCACACCTGGGGAAAGTCAGCGACAAGCGGTAGGAGAGGCCAAGGGGAGGTGACTGGGGACCTCACCTTTTTCGGCTCTTTGTAATTCTCACCTACTGCTGCATACTTTAATTTACAAAGCAATTCACTGCTCTGGGGTCATTGTCTTTATTCTCCAAAACCTTAGGAAGGTCACAGCAGTCTTATAGTAGTATTATTTCTTGGAAGCAGTATGGCACTGGGATCAGGGATGTGGGCTCATGACTCTGGTTGCCTGGGTTGGGATCTAACTTGCCATTTACTGTCTGTGTGATCCTGGACAATTCACTTGACCTCTCTGTACCTCAATTACAATTCACTTTACCTGTGTGCCTTAATCACATTGAAGTTGCTGATAGTCTATAACTCATATGGGTCTAATGAATTTATTTCCAGGAGAAAATCTGTGCAGAGGAACATGAGCTGGGCTCAGAGGCCAGAAAGAGTTGACTGGGGTGGTGGAGGGGCCCTGCAGGGTAGAGTGGAGGTTGAGGTAAGGAGGAACAGGGTCGGGAGGGAAGAGTGTGGTCTATGTTGGAGCCTGAGACCTCCTGCTCATTTTAAAGGGGCGCAGACAATCTTAAGGATCCACTAATAAATTCTAAGCAAGTGAGAGTCCAGTCATCTGAGCAGGTGTCATAATCACAGGTGGCAGGTCAGAAAGGGGAGAGGTGACAGCTGGTCCCCATATCCTTTCTGAGGGTGTCACAAAGTAACTCACAGCCACCCGCTCCCTTCTAGCGTCCCTGCCCCAGCAGCCTCCCTCCCTGCGTCCCCTCACCAGAGCAGCCCAGCGCTCAGGGTGACTCAGTTGGCCCAGATGCCCTCCCCAGCTTCCAGCAGTGCCATGGTTACAGTGACTTCAAAACAACATCTGGAATGAGACCCCGTGACATCAGCTTCTCCTCTAGAAACGCCTAAGATGAAAATTAAAGAAGAGGAAGTTGTATAAACAGCCAACTTGGGGGAAAAGTCCTTTTTGGATGGGTTGTGTTTGGCACAGCCAGGGCCGAGCAGATTACTTCCCCGGGGGGCATGCCAAGTTTGGCACAGACGTGAGGAATTCAGAGCAAGCATTCGAGCCTGTGTTATATATTAAGATACTGATGGGCTTGTCCCTGGGGAGCTTCTAGACCCCCGCCCCCCACCTTCCCCCATGGATTCACATGGCAGAATGTTAAATACCAGGTTTTCTAATTAACTAACAAACTCAAATTCAATAGATTAAGCCTAGTCCTTTGAGAGGAGGGAATAGCAGACTCACTAGCTACACCAAACCCACTGTCTTTTTTTTTTTTTTTTTCCAAGTGGAAAGAGTATTTTCAAATGCCCTTTAAGCAGAATGTCGAGGCCTAAGAGAGAAACTCAGCCAGGTTGAACTGAAGCTCCCCACACTCTGCCTCCCTGTTCTCTTTCCTCTCTTTCTTCCCCTTTATCTTTTATTCCTTTTTTCCCCCCGGAGTCTCTTCAAACATTGTGAAGCACCTGTTTTGAGCTGCCCTCTAGGGATAAATAAACAATTTGATGCTGCACTCTCAGGGAACTTGTGTGTAAGCGTGATCAATCCTGTCTCCGTCTCCTCCTTCAACCTAGAGCTTCGCTCCTTCAGTTTTCTTAATGAAAGATCTTATGCAGAGGCTGAGTGGTAGGGAGATTGCATCCTAAAATGAGATTGCTAGGCCTCCAACTAGTTTGCTTTCTGGTACTAGAACAAAATGCTACAGACTGGGTGATTCATAAAGAAAGAAGTTTTGTTCGCTGTTCTGGAACCTGGGAATTCCAAGGCCGTGGCATCTACGTTAGGCAAGGCTTTCCTGCTGCATCGTAACAAGGCATAAAGTGAAGGAGCAAGCGTCTGCAAAAGAGCAAACTCACCTTAGAATGACCCCCTCTTGTGGCAAATAACCAACACGCTTCCAACAATAACATTAATCCACTCATGGTGGCCTCATCCCAGTGGCCCCAAAACCTCTGGCTAGGTCCCACCTCCTAACACCACTGCATTGGGAATTAAGGTTCTAGTTCATCAACTTTGGGGGGGACACATTCAGACCATAGCATTTACCATTAATTTCGCTAAGGCACTGGACAGTACGCCCCTCATTATGGAATTTCCTCAAAGGGAAACGAGAGTCCAGTTAACTTTCTGTGAAAGCTAGGCTATCTCAGAAACAAGCCAATAATTGAGGTCCAGCTGAAAATTTCCTGTTCACATCTCCAGGAAGCTCAGTGTGCGTGGAGGAAGGACAGAGGGTGTGCTTCCCTAGAGAGCAAGAGAGAGCCAGGGCAGTGGGATTCCCAGGCAGGTCGAGGTGCAGATAGAGAGGGTCAAGGTCAGGGGAGGGGAGACAATGGGGCTGCAGAGTGAGAGGGGGGCTCACCTATGCCCTGCACACAAATCAAGCCTGCCCCAGATTACAAAGGATCCTTTTGAAAGGAGTTTTCAGAAAGATATTTTCTTGTGCTTCTTGAAGAATTGCTGTTTGATCTTCCACATTTGGATCTTTAATTCACATGAAATCAAATTGTGCACATGTTGAGGGGTAGGGGCTTTTATCCTGTGTGGGTAGCCCGCTGGCCCAGGCCCAGTGTTGGGAAAGCTGTCTGCCACCAGGCT